CGCAAGCGCAAGGACCTGAGTTCGATCTCCGGTACCAAAAAAAAAAAAAAAAAAAAATCGAACCCAGGCCCTTCACACCTAAGATGCATTCCCAGCCCTTTTAAAATCTTTAAAAAATTTGAGACAGAGTCTCACTAAGTCACTACATTGCCCAGGCTGGCCTTGAACTTGTGATCTTCCAGCCTCAGCCTCCCAAAGTGCTGGGATTAAAGGTATCCATTGGAATTTGTGATAAAGGAGGTTCAGGAATGAGTGAAATGAAAGGAACTGTAACGGATACTCAGACATCTCAGTGTAAATGAGGAAGGTCAACCAAGGCACAAGGAACATTGAAGCAGCCTCTTCTCCAGGTCTGAGGGTCACCCCCTCACTCCCGGCACCCAGGGCCTCTTAGATGATACCCATCCCACCATCCACAGCACTGGCAGCAGCACTGATTTTGGCTCCATCAGTAGGTGGCTCAGAATCCCGCTACAGGATCCCTCCCAGTGAGAGCCACTGAGGACAGGACAGAGGAGGGAGAGAAGGGTGCAAGTCTAAGCCCAAGGCCTCCAACCCCAGCTCTAGGGCTTTCTCAGAGCCTGAGCACATTTCATAATTGTACAGGCCTCAGTTTCCCTGTCCATAGATTGCTGGCAGCAATAGGACCTGTCACAGAGGCCTACATTAAAGGTTCCACGAGTTACTTCTTACACTCTGCCTAACATAGAGCTTAACAAGAGCATGACGACTCTCAGCCACCACTGTCACTGTCAGTGTGTACACTATGAGTGGTGTGATCATTAATCATGATGTTTCTACTTGACGGGAGTAAGAAACACCTAGAAGATTAGCAAAGCATAGTTGTGGGTATGTCTGTGTGTGGATGATGGAAATGGTAGGCCTGCAAATTGAGAGACAAGACCCATCCCAGCTGTGGGAGGCACCAACTAATAGACTTGTAACCTGGATAGAATAAAAAGGGAAAGAAGGAGTAGATGTGCCCACGCCAAGGTCTGCCACAGGCATGAGCAGTAGTTTTGCCCCCTTGGACCATGGCCACAGAGTGCCTGGTTTGCTGAACTCAGGGATACTTCCTTAGGTAGCCCTGAATGAGCAGGGCGCCTGAGGCTCTCTTCTCAAAACAAAATCTTTCAAAGTAATTTACCCTTTTACTCTTGAAATTGTGAAGGGTGGGATCTGGTCAAATCCTGAGGTGCTTTCTAGCCATCTTTCCTATTGTCCTAATGCAAAGTACTTGGTTTCTTTTTAATGAATATTGGGCTGTCTTGAAATTTCCTCCACCAAATTCATTAAATCCTTTAAATTCAGCCTCATACAGAGTCTTAGAACATTGAAAAAACTCGACAAGTTCTTTGCTAAAATAAAACTCACATGGCCTCTAGTCGTGTTTCCAACAGAGTCTTCATTCTCACCTGAAAACTCCTGAGCCTGGCCTTTACTGTCTACATGCTTATCAGGATTCTGATCTTCTGAGCTCTGACAAGAATCACTCATCAGCTTCTGCTTCTGGGGTTTCCCTAGCCTACATCCTCAAACCTTTTCAAACTCCTCCTGCAAACCAGTTCCAAAGGCTTCTGAACCACATGGTCAGGTATACTCACAGGAATGACCCCAGTCCTAGTACTGATTTTCTGTATTAGTCAGCTTTTCCATTACTAGAATAAAATACCTAACACCTGCAACTTAAACGAGGAGGGGTTTATTTTGGCTCATTGATTTCAGAGGATTCAGGCTGTGGTTGATTATCTCTCAGGTTGAAACAGTATGGTGGAAGGGCTTGGCAGAGGAAAGCTGCTGCACTCATGGCAACCAGAAAGCAGAGGGAGAAGAGAGGAGCCAGGGACAAGAGTAGATCCTGCCTGGTTATGTCCCCCATGATTACCTCCAGTGAAGCCCCACCTCCTAATAGCACTTTTAGCCATGAACTCATAGATGAATTAATCCACCAATGAGTACAGCACCCCATGACCCAATCACTTTTCAAGACTCCCATCTTTAGATACACGAGACTTTAGAGGGACATTTTAGATCTAAACCATAACAAGAGATATTGAAGTATGTGTGTATGGTGTGTTCATGTGTTTTTTATGTGGTGTGTGAACGGTTTATATGTAGTTAGTATGGTATATGTTTATAGCGTGTAAGTGGAGTGTATAGTATATGTTGGTGTGTATGTGTTTGTGCGGTGTGGTGTGGTGTATGTGTATGGTGGGGGGAAGCTCAGTGGTCCCTAAGCTCCCAGTACAAAGATTTCAGGACTCTGCCTAGTTGGCTGCTGGTCTGGGGTATAAACACAAGGTTCTTAGCATATCTTCCCTCCCAATTTGTAAAAAAAAAAAAAGTTTAAATACCAAAATACTGTGCCTTGTGTTCCAAAGATACCAATTATATAAGTAGAAGTTGAATCACAACATGGAAGACATCAGGTTGTATAAATAGCACTGAGCTGTTGACACAGTGTGAGTACCACACCTTCATCTCACCCCCAAAACTTTGGTCCCTGTCATCTGCCATCCACAATGCCAGTTGCTGGGACTCCTGCCACTGAGGATGGAGATGGTACAAAAGTGGAGCCACAAGTGCCCTCAGCCCATAGAGGTGACTCCTGGTTTCTCCAGGGTGCATTTTGTAAAGTTGGCCGTAGGTTCCCGTAATGGGACTTCTTTCCCAAGTGGGGACAGGGAATGCGACAGCTTTGCCCCTTTATCTTTTTAATACAGGTGCAAACATGCAGTGACATGGACTCGTTGACAAGCACAGTGAAAGAGCTTCAAAGGGTGTACACAGCCATGTGACTTACACTCCCACTAAGATCTAGAAACTTCCACACCCTCAAAGTCTTCCTGTGTTCCTACACATACAGGGCAACCACTCCTCTGATTTCTTTTTCTCTGTTTTACTCTTAAAGATCTGGATGCAGCTACTTTGAAAAATGTGATACCTTTCCTACCTCTGTTCTGGTTGGCATCCTCACAGATCCGCTCTGCTCATGTCTCTGATCTCTGAATCACTGGACAGCAACCGGCTCTCCCCTGTCCAGCTTCTTCTGTTCTACCTGATTTCTAGATTCATCCCACTGTGAGTACATTCAGACCTTTTCATAATTATGTTCAGATTTTCTCACCTCCTGGCTCTGAACTTCTGGAATCCTATGGCTCTGTAAGTCTGATACCAATGGACACCTGTGAATATAGATCTGGGAGCACCGTGGCACTGTTCCAGTTGTCAATAGGAAATCCTTATCTGAGAGGCTCCTGGACCCTCAGAACCAGGGTGTGAACTCACCCTGCCCTAAATCTCTATTGGCACAGCCCACCTGCTGCCCTAGTTGGAGCCTGGAGATTCCTCAGAGAGCAGACCCCGAATCCAGGGCTCATGAGTCCTGATCTCTCTCACCCACTCATCATGCCACATGCTGCCTCTCTTTCTCTCTCATGCATACACACGTAGACACACACTCACACAACACTTTCTAACAACAATGCAGCCACAGGCCATAGAGAAATCTTGGAGGATTTAGCTGATGCCTCTGAGTTTCTGGTTTCTCATGGGCAGAATGTGGATAAGAGCTAGCACAAGGATCACGGAGTTGCTGTTCTCTCTCCAGGGCCAGGAAGAGACTCGAACCTGGCCTGCAGTTGGGAGCAGCGGAACAGGTGTTAGCTCTTAGCAGTCCTAGATGCCTCACTATCCATGGACATCAAATCAGCACACTTCAGTGCCTGCCAGGCATTCATCTATACCTTCATTTCTGCCACCACTCGGCTCCTGTCTAGTCCACTCCGCACTGTCTGATTAAGGAACTTCCTGCTTCCTCCTCACAGTCTCAGCTTCCTGTTGGATTGTGCTGGCCCAAAGTTTTGCAGGATCTCTACCAGTTATTAGTCCCTTGAAATGGTCCTGTTAATCAGAAATTTAAAAGTAGCCGAGTGTGGGAGCGTATACACCTATAATCCCGGCATTCAGGAGGCTGAAGGCCAGAGGATTGCTGTGAGTTCAAGACCAGCCTGGACTGCATAGAGTTTGAGGCCAGCATGGACTACATAGTAAGACCCTGTCTAAAAAAAAAAAAAGCCAACAACTAGGTCTTACAGCATAATGTTTGGATTTCAGATCAAATCTCCCAGGTTCTCTCCAGGAGGAAGATATAGTTTCAGGGTGATACCAGTGTTTATTAGTCACTTTCTCATCCTGGGACTTGACAGCTGACATCCACAACTTAAAGGAGGAGAGGTCTATTTTGGGTCATGGTTTTTAGAGGGTTCAGTCCATAGTCAGCTGATTGAGAAGCAGGAAGGAATGTGGGAAGGGTCTGGTGGAGGAGAGCTGCCCACATCATGGGGGAAGCAGAGAAAGAAGGGAAGAGCAGGGGAGGGAGACACACTCTCCTGGGTCATGCAGCTAGTGACTGCCTCATCCAACTAGGCCCAGCTCCAACAGCACAGTCACCTAAGAACACGTCAGTGGATTAGTCCACTGATGAGTACAGCACCTCATGATCCATCACCTTCCAAAAACCCATCCCTGAATACATGAGGCTTTTGGGGGGGGGGGCATTCTGGTTTTAAACTATAACACAGTGACTCCCGTTTTCTCATCTCTGAATTGGGGGATAATCTCTGCTTATTTTACCCAGACACAATTGTAGATCAAGCAACCCAGAAACTCTTTTTCCACTTCTGAAGTTTCTGAGCTCTGTGAGTCATTCTTTGAACCTTTTTGATGATTGCTTGGCCCTTCATGGCTCTGGCCAGGATGCTATGCATGTCAGCATGCCTCACCTCTGGACATCCTAACTGGTGTCCAGAGTTTCTTTGATTTTCCATAAGGATGGATGTCAGCTATTGCATGGAATTCCTGGTGGGGATTGGGACTAAAGAACAGTTGCTCAGCTCCTCGAGTTGGGGACCCAGGGCCAGCAGATTTCAGCAGGACGTTGTATAGCTCACCTGCCACATCCCTTGTGCCAGCCAGGGGTGGACAGAAGCCTGGCCAGGTGGAATCACATGGGCTTTAATCCATGAAGACCCAACCAGGGACCTTCAAACAAAGATAGTCATGAGCGACACTGATTTCAAGGGAAGCCTCATCTCTGGCACAAATAAACTGTTGCTTCTTCATTTTGCTCACAGGCAGCATTTTCCTGGGCCAATGTTTCCTTCTTTTTCTTTTTCTTGGAAAGTTCGGGAGGTGGGTGGCGACATTTTCAGCTGCTATTTTCATTTTCAGCTGCTTAGTCACTGCGGGCAGCTTAGAAGCCAGGTAACAGCTCTCCCACACCCTGGGCTGGTTACTCCCAACTCTCTTCCCTGTGGAAGAAAGTGGCACACACAATCCCTCTTCCAGGGACCCATGAACACGTAACCATAACAACACCTCCAAATCAAAGGTGGGCCATGTAGGCTCTGTGACACAGCCCAACCCACAGTGACACCTGACCTTTCTGAATATCCATTACCTAGCTCCCTACATGATCTGGAACATTCCTAGGACTAAAAATAGCAAATATCAGCCCTGAACAGCCAAGATGCCCAGAACCCAAACTCTAAGGTTCACGCATGTAACTCACAAGTGAGCCCCTCAGGCTCCTATTCTCTGGCATTTATTTTGGTTCTGGATTTCATTTAACATCCCTGATCTTCTCCCATATGGCAGATTAAAAATAACTCGTCCCTAATGTGCAGCACTGTGTACCTGCTGGGGAATAGGTTAAAGCATCACGTGGGTAATTAGTGCAGACCAATCTGAAGGTACCTTCGACCCCAGATTTCCATAATTGCCAGCACAGCCCTGCAGAGAGGGAATTACACAATGATGTCGCCTCACGCTTCATTTCTCAGCACTGGGCAAACCAAACGTCCCCACAAACATTATTTTCATTTCAGGAGCTTATAAAACCCCTCGTTTTTATTTCTCCCTGCTCTTTTTTCTTCTTTGTCTTTTTGGAGGGATAGCTTGTTTCCATGAAGGGAACCCTGGAATAAGTGCCAAGTGTGATATCAACAGTGTGACTTCAGGGCATCACTTGGCTACTGTGGGTTTGGCTTCTGTGAAACAAAGACTCCTCCATTCACCAGCATTTACTGAGCCGCTATGGTGTGCAGGGAGCCACTCTAGGCCCCAGGACATGATGAGGCCCAGGGTAAACGCCTGGTCTGGCCTCCCTCAGTCATATTCTGGGTCGTGTGGGGCAGAGCCGCACAGTGCACAGGTGAGCAGCTCTGCCGGGGACCCCAGATGAGAGCGAGTGGTGTGACAGAAGCAGGGCAGGGGATAGGATGGACAGTGGCCAGAGAACTCGCGAGTAACCTTAGAGCTAGAGTCAGAAAAGCAAGGCCTCACGGAGCTGTCCCAACTTTCAGGAGGACAGATCACACTGACACTGTGGGGACAGCAGAATGGACCATGTGGACATCAAGTAGGAAGGAGGACAGGCCACAGGGACACCAGGTGGACAGAAGGATGGACCACAGAGACATGAGGTGGACCACAAGGGCATCAAATGAGGAGGATCTCGGGATAGTAATGGTAACCAATCAGCTCACGTTGGAAAGAGGCCAATCAGGTCAATCAAGAGCATTGTCCCCTAACTTTTCAATTCTGAGATGCAGCAGGAAGTCACCTGGGCTTGGTGTTGGCCACCAGGCAGGGAAAGGCACCGGGAGTTGGAGCAGCACACCTGGGGGAGCTTCTGAGTCTCACCATGTTGAACCCAGCTTGGCATCCGCTGGGGTCCTCTCCCTTGGCCTTGGTATCTCTCCTTTGTGACATCACCTGGACAAGATACTCAAGACGTCCCTCCACTCCCCTTGCAGGTGTCCTGGAACCATGCCGCTCTTATTCACTTGGTTCCTGCTGTGGGCAGGGCCCATGGAGGCCAGAATCTGTTCCCACTCATGAGTGGGTCTTACCCATTGCTGTGTGCAACTCCTGATGGGGAAGCAGGCTATGAGGTCCCCAGCAGTTGTTCCCAAGGCTTGGGGATTCCCTTCTTCCTCCCGCCGTGGTGGTGCCCAGGCTCTCCTGTCCCAAGTGAACCCTGGCCACACATGTGGCCTGTGGTCAGGTTGAGCCACAGAAGCTCCCCCTGGTCTCAAGGGATTCTGTGCTGGGGGCAAAGAAGGTAGAGAAAGTACAAGGCGGTGCTCAGGGTATGCCCAGCACTGCTGGCTGCCAGGACAGTGCAGGAGTGGAGCTGGGCCAGGGAGCAGGCCCAGGGTAGCAGAGGCCTCTGGCCTGAAGGTTGTGTCCAGCTCTGCCACAAACCAGTGTGCAGTTTGGTCAGCTGTGCAACACCTCCAGGCCTCACCGTCCTCCTGTAAATGACCCATGCACTAATCAGATGGGGCAAGGAAACATGACATAGCCTAAGACACAAGGTCAATATAAGTTGCTCTGAGTGGGATCCACAATAGCCATTGTGCTGTTGGATCACTGATGTCTACACACTCCCCAGTCTGGAGCAGTGTGTCTCCTAGGCAACACTGACCCATTGATGGAGATGTACTGCTATTTCAAAGCACTTTGGATACTCCAAGAATATATATTCCTCAATCAACCCTATGAGGCTGGTACTGTTGTTACCCCTATTTTACAAACATAGACCCCGAGGCACAGAGAGGTAGATGAACTGCCCCATGTTCCACATCTGGTAAGAAGCAGAGCAGAGACCCAACCCTGACAGCTGCCCCAAGCAGGTTCTGTAGCTTTGGCACTGTGGGCATGGGAGCTGGGTCATTTGCTTTCTGGGTGGGGCTGTCCTGGCACCAAGGACATCGAGTGGCTAGTACCCTATGCCCAATTTTGACCACCAAATTTTTTTTTCTAGATGTTGCCAGGTGTCCCTTGGGGGAAGAATGGCTCCAGGTTGGAAAAACCTCACTCAGGAGTCCAATCCAGACTCTGACTTTCTTTCTTTCACCAACCCCCATCTCTCGGGGAGAAGCAGGAGTCTTAGGGGACTTGTGACCAGGAAAATTCATCCTAGGAGATGGCTTAGAAGAGTGGGCTGAGAAACCAGTAAGTACCAGTTGCAGAAAGCAGTTTTCCCCAACACCAGGGCCACAACCTTTTGAGCAAGATTTCAAAATAGGGATCCTTGGCCTTCCAGAGGTGGGCAGTCGCTTTCCCAGGACCCAGCAACAACCTCCAAAGAGTCCTTCCTCAGAAACCTTTGCAGGACAGTTTAGGACACAGAATACCATCTGTTTGCTGCAGCTGCATAGGAAGAGGATCCCCCCTCTCCTCGTCCAGCTGGGTTTCTGTCTCCAGTGATCAGAATCAGCCAGGTTTGAAGACACATACTGGGGTCTCAGTGCCAAGTGAAGGCTGAGGCTCCTATTTACAATAAGTCAAGGGTTGCTGATCTGCATAATGTGCACAGGAAATGCTTCGCCCCCACAGTGCCCAGTAGACATAGTCATGTGTCCCTTCAGGAAGGGAATTTGTCATTGTATGTACACCTCAGGGTGCACTTACACAAATGAAGATGGCTACATCGCTAGGCAATGTAATCCATGGGAGCACTGTCATATGGATGGGCCCATCCTCACCAACCAAAATATGACACTGCACGTGGCTGTATTGGTTGAGTGACTAAGACAGTCAGGGACAGTTCACTGAGGTCTGAGAGTGACCTGAAGCATAGCTAGCTTGTCTGCTGAGTCTTGTTATGCTCCCTTCCCAAGGACAGGGATAAGTGTTCCAGAGCCTGTGCTGAGAACCAAGTTCAAGGTTCGGTGAGTGGCCCAGTTGCAAAAGAGGAAGGCTATTTTTCAAAAAGACTTTCACTCTGGACTTTCCTCTTTCTACCCAGTGGCAGTTTGTTCCTTGCTGCCTCTATCACCTTTGATCACTGCTGTATTGCAGGACACCCAACAGGTACAAAAAGGAAGGAACGCAGGCAGGTAGGCAGGAAGGAAGGAAGGAAGGAGAAAGAAAGAAAGAAACAAGGAAAAAAAGAAAATCCAGGGTTCAGTCCCCCAGTGTTGAAAAAAAACACAACTCAATAATTTCTATGTGAGTTGCATGTTGATTCCGGAGGTATTCTATTAAATAAGCTAAATATTAAAATTAATTTTGCTTGAATTTTTCCTTTTTTAAAAAATTCTTTTATTGGTACATTTTAGGCATACAATACATTTACATTTATCATTGGGTGTTTGTACCTGTTCATGATGAATCTTGGTTCTTATTTTTTTTCCACATTATCTGTGCATCCTTCACCCCCTCCACCCTTCCCTATTTACATAGATTTCGTTTCCATTTTTTTTCTTTTCTCATAATTTTTCCTTTCCCTTCTTTCCTTTCCCCTTCCCCTCCCACCACCCCTACACATTTGGACCCTTTAATATTTCAAATTATCAATTATTCATTTTAATCATTTTAATCCTTATTTACACTTTCAGTCTCTCACACTAGAGAAACCATTTGGTATTTACACACATGTGTCCTATTTATTTCACTTAAGAGTATGGCCTCAATATGCATTCATTTAGCTATAAATGTCTCTCGCTTCTCGTGATGGCTGAGTAGTACTCCATTTTATTAAAAACCCACATCTTCTTTATCCAGTTTCCAGTTGATGGGCATTTGGGCTGCTTCCAAGTTTTAGCTAT